GCCACCGCAGCGGGAGGGCCAGGGTTCACTGGAATTGGGTGGGAGGGATGAGGGCAGGAAAGACTCGAAGACGACTCTCAAGGGCCAGGTTTGGGAGATTGGATTGAAGGTTGGGCCTTTTGCAGAGAAGGGGAAGACAAGAGGGGAGCAAACGTTTTGGGGAGAAATCAGCATTCTGATTGGCTGTGGCAAGTTTGGGGTGTCCGTGAAAGACATCCAAGTAGAGCCGTTAGCTGGACTGTTGGGCAGGCCAGTCTAGACAGGGCAGGTGGGACATAACCAGAGTCACTGGTGACCACCCAGGGTGAGAACGCAGAGGAAGATGGGAAGGGGTCAGGCACGAGTCTTGTCTTGAGGGAACCCAACGTCTAGATGTTGGGTGGAGGAGTGGCCCGTGAGGGCGGAGGTGACCTGGGAGGTCTTGGTGTCATGGTGGTGTCACGGAGGGCAAGGAGAGGTGCTTTCAGGAGGGAGTGGTCAGCTGTGTCAGACGCTGCCACGAGGCCAAGTGAGTGTAAGGAGAGGAAAGCATCCTTTGGATTGGGCAATGGGGGTCGCTGAAAAGAATGGCAGCCGTGAACAGGTGGGGGTGATGCCAGCCAGTGGGCAGCACTGTCACCTATGAAGAGTTGGGCCCACATTGGTAGCAGAAGTTCTACCCCTTCCCCTTGTGCACATCCTTCAAGCGCATCTCCCAGGGCCCAGCCAGGAAACTACCTGGTGACATTTTCAAAGCCATAGAGCTCCCACATTGTGTTTTTTGGTTAAAAGAACATTTTCTGAACCTCCATTTCAAGCATTTGATTTCAAGCAGATAGTAATTATTCTGCCTCTACCTAGCTCGCTGCCTGTTGCTGGGTGCAGAAAGGTATAACGAATGAATAAGACATGGCCCCAGACACAGGCAGGATAAAACTATGGCTAATTAGAGCTGTAGTTAAGTACCCAGAGGGCAGAGAAAAAGCCTCCAGAAGAACATGGAGATCAGGTGATTTGGTAAAATGTACATGAATCAATTTTGTTCCTTCCTACCAACACAGCTAATCCCTTCACCTATGCACTTAATCCCAGTGCTCTAGGGCCCCTTCCATTACCTGCTCTTCAAACTTTCAGGCTCAGGCTTACATAGCCCCCCACCCCTTTCGAATGTCAGCATGTAAGAAACAGCATCTTCTCTGACCCCACTGTCCCCCCCAGGTCTCCTTTTCCCTCCTGCTTTCTCAGCAAACCCCTGACCATCCCCACCCAGATGGGCTTCTGCCTCATTCCCTCAAAGTTGCTGCGGCAAAGATCCCCAAAGACCAGACTCACCTCCCCCGACTTCTGTGCATCTGACCCACCTGTGGCCACCCTGACTTCTGGAAATGCTCTTTCATGGACTTCTGAGCTCCGCCTTTCCTTGTCTTCTCTTTCTCAGACTCCCCTTCCCCTGACCCCTGGCCTTGGGCCTTCTCTCTCATTGTGCCCCTTTCCCCTAAAGCTTTGACTACCTCCTGGGGGCCAATTCTCCAATCTGAGAGTCCAGGCCAGGCTGCTTTGAGCTCTAGGGCAACACACCAATCTATCTCTAATGACCACTCTTCCATTTGCAGTCCAGAGCTCTACTCTGAGCTCCAGAACCTGATGGTCAACCATCTATCAACATCTCAGACATCTCAACAGGACTCAAATGAAACTCTTGGTCTGGGTTTCTCTTTTCACTCGATTATCTCTTTTTTCAAATTCATAACTTCTTTCCCAAATAGGTCCTCATCTTGTGTTTCCTATTTTGGGGAATGACAATACCTCTATAGTGAGAGACACTTGACATTCTAGAACCTCCTCTGACTTCACCTGCCGCATCCGTTGTGAAGCTGGTTGATCTACCTACAAACTGTCTCCATCCTCATCAATAGTTTAGTCCAAGCCATCATCTCACAGTTGGTCCACTGCAGCTACCTGCGAATTGGTCTCTTTAAATCCATTCTTCCCGCCAATAAGCCAACCCCCACAGAGCATCCAGAGTGTTTTTTTCAGAAAATGTATTGTTTTAATGCCCACCTCCTACTTAAGCCCATTCAATGCTCTTAGAGAAAGATCAGCTTTGATTAATCCAGCCTCGGCAGATACCACATTCCCCCTATCCAACGTCTGGTTCTTGCGAATAATATTTTCTCCTTGGTTCTAGCTAACAGAAGTCACTCTCCATGTGACATAGGTTGATCTATGTGAGTCATCAGTGGCCAGGCCCACTTCTCTTGCCAGTGATTGGTTTTATGAGTGGGCATATGGTGCAAATATGACTAATGAGAGGTGGTGGTGGCGGCGGTATCTTTTGTGGAAGGTGCCTTAGTTTTTCAGAAGCAGTATAAGGAAAACCACTTCCTTTTACCCATCTCTGGATCCATCATTTTATGATGGATACAATGCCTGGAGTGTCTGCAGCCATCTTGTGATCATGGGGACAGGAGTCCATATGCTGAGGATGGGAGGACTGAAAGATGAATAGAAACTAGTCCTTGATGACATGAGAGCTGCCTCCCTTGGGACTTCTTATTGTTTAGATGTTTTTAAGTTGAATTCTGTCACTTGTGTCAAAATTGTTCTTACCAATAAGTGCTGCAGCCATGATGGCCGTCTGGTTTCTGGAATGCACCATCCTCCCACCAGGAGCTTTACACAAGCTGTTTCCTTATGGGCAATGCTCTCCTCATTCCTAGTTAACTTCCACTCCTCTGATCAAATGTTACTTTTCTGATCTAGGAAGATTTCTCAATGGCACCTATCAGAGTTTAAAATTACGGATTTCTCTTTCACTCGGTTAATATCTGGCTGTTTTGCTGGCCTGGCAGCTTATGTGGGCAGAGACCAGGTCTGTCTTTGCTCAGCACCGTGTACCCTCGGTCTCAATGCTTAGACAAAACAAGCTCACTGATTCAGTCAAGGTCCTGGTAGGAAAGAGGGTGGTGTAGTCAAAAAAATTTAACTGATGGAACAAATTCAATGAAAGAACTATTCACAGAGTGTGGCAGGGCTAGGGGTTGCAGAAACAATAAAGGACCGAGGGGTGAGCAACGGTTGGAAGCCATCACTAGTTCTAGGACTGAGGAGATGAGAAGAGGGTGTGGGTTTTCAGAACCTGGGGAGAAAGCTGTGGCTTAAGGAAGGGACCCCACCCGTGGCCATAGTAAAGGAACCCAGTCAGTGCCAACCCACAGCCCATAGGAAGACAGCCAGGGGGACCTCGCTCCTCTCCTGCTGGTTCCTCCACTGATCCAACTCCACTGACTCCAGAGGGCAAGGAGCCCGGCTGGTGTCAATGTCGGCCATCCAGGGCACAGAACAGGATGGAGAAAGATAATGGCTTTGAAGGGGCCAGTGAAGAACATCTGAACAGACATCAAACGACCTTCTCGCTACTCAGTTCAATGTACCTTTCCCCTTTCTTATTAGTCTCAAGCACCCTGCAGAATTTGACAGTGTAGACAACCTTCCCCGCAAGGTTTTCAGGACTGCAAAGGGCATCACAAGGGAATCTTTCCCATGCCTCGCCCTCTGCCCTCCAGACGTCTCCAATCATACCCACGTGTTTCCTTCATCTGGGCTCCGAGGATGGATCCCAGCTCACACATTGCTCCTCTTTTCCCCTCTCCCTCTCCGCTGTGCCCTCTTTCAAGATGAGAAAATTCTAGGGTCTCCCGTTTTCAAAAATCCTCCCTTGATCACCCACCTTTTTCTCCCTGCCACTCAGCTCCTCCCCTAGTCACCCGACCTTCTCTAAGGAGGGGGTCTGTGCCTCCGGCACCCGTTCATTCTATTGCCCCTGTCAGCCAGCTTTTACCTCCGCCCCCTCCCCCCCTGCCAAGGTTCATAATAGCTTCCTGATTGCTAAATTCAAAGGACTTTGTATTTTTCTGAGATTCGGGCCATATAGCAGCGTTGATTACTTTCTCCTGGAAACTCTTCACTACCTTGGTTGCCATGGCAACCCCCTCTCCAAGTTGTTTGTCTCATCTCTTGGGTCCTTCCCTCTCCCTCCTTTGTCGCCCGCCCACACCTCAATCAGCCCCTCAAAAGTCGCTGTAACTCCAGATTCTGCTCAAGGCCCTGTCCCATTCTTTCCCTACCCTCTCTCCCTGGGGTTCACACCACCCTCTAACCCTGGGCCGGCCACTCCCTTCGAATCTCTTCCTGAGCCTCAGGCTGTGGGATCCAGCTGCCTGCTGGGCACCACCTGGCTGTGCCCCCGGGCCTCCAGCTCTATCTGCCTGAGACTGGGTTCGCTGTTCCCCATCCCAAGCACTTCCCCACCCACCACTGAGCTTCCTGCCCCCCAGACACATGAGACTCACCCTTGGCTCTGCCCTCATTCTCACCCCAACAGCCAACAATCATCAAACATTTTTTACTTTATTTTCTAAAGATTTCTGGGTTCTGCCCATCCCCCCTTCATCGCTCCAGGTCAGGCCTAACCCTACCTTACCTGGATTGTGACCATAGTATCTTAACAGGTTTCCCTCCCTGGAGTCTGACCTTCCAGATCTAGCCGTCACACTGGCCACCACAGTGATTTTCCCAGACCACACACTGGAGATGTCGCAGGGTTAAGAACTTTCAGCAGCGCCCACTGACTATAGCTGGAGGGCCTGATCTCCACCACCTTCTTCAGCGATGAGTCCCATTCCCTCCTTTCATAGTCCAGAAACACCGAATGCCCTCGAGCTCACTCTTGCTACTCACTTCGGGGGTTTGCTGTGCGGTTTCCTTTGTTTGGAATGTCCCTCCAGTCCCTCTCCCTGCTCATTCCTGGTCATCTTGAAGAAGTTAGACCGGTGCTCACCTCCTCTGGAAAGCTCCATGCATCTCCATGTTCCGTTATTGCACTTGCCAGACTATATTTTATGGCCCACTAAAATGCCGTGGAGTAGGATAGTATATTACGTATTATTCAGTGGCTTCCCCACCCCCTCAACATACACTTCCTTGCTCATCACTGTTCTGTGTTACAAATAACCCCAAACTTTAGTGGCTTAAAAACACAATTTATTATTTCCTGTAGTTCTGGGGGTTGACAGGGTTCAGCTGGGTGGTTCTTGTTTAAAGTCTCTCAAACGACTGCAGTCAGATGGCAGCTGGCTTGACTCCTTGAAGGCTCACTGGCATAGCTGGGGCGGCTGGGAGCTCCGCCGAGGGTGACGACTAGGGAGCCTGCGCGTGGCTCACCACGCGGCTTGGACTCCGCAGCATGGCAGCTATGTTGCAAGAGGGAGTGTCCCAAGACCAAGTGCTTTGAGAGGCTGGTGCAGAAGCCACAAGGCTGCTGATGACCTAGTCTCACAAGTCCCAGACGCCCCTTCTGCTACATCCTATTGGCCAAGAAAGTCACTAGGGCCAGCCCAGGTTCGTGGGGAAGGAAAGTAAACTCCACTTGTTGATGTGAGGATTCGTATGTGTATACAAGGAGGGTGGTGGGGAGTTGATGGTGATCATCTCTGGAGACTAACTACCACCGTCACTCTGCAGATTCAGTCAGAGTTTGGGGAAGGGTTGGTATTGCTGCAGCATGAATGAGTGAGGAAGACAGCCAGTGGCTTCAGTCTCTTGAAACCTACAACAGAGACAGGGAGTTTGGTTGTGGTCGCTGACCTTTTGTAAGAAGAAAAGCAGCTGAGGAACTCAACTTGAGATTGATGCCATGAGCAGTGACTAGAGAAGCAGCTGTCTCTGACCGGCTAGTGGGGGGGGGAGGGGGAGGGGAGAGACATGGAGACATAACTAATGGCAGAGACTAGATCTCTCAAAAGAAATTTGGGGTGTCCTGGAGTAAAGGGGCTATTGCCTGGCTCCCAGCTTGGGCTGGAGAGGTTGAGAGCCCTGCTGGGCGGAGGCGTCTCCCAGAGGGGCCTGTGGGTGTCCTCCAGGGTCCTGTGTGTAGCCGTATCAGGGTGCTGATGGCGAGGGTATAGGGAAGTGGGTGAGTGAAGCTGGTGGAGTTGGGAACGCTCTGTGGTCAGGACAAGGATTCAGCTGGGGTGTCTCAGCTCCGTGGACAGATCCTGGTGATCAGGATCAGATCTAAACCTGGTGCCAGGGCAAAATGGGAGAGCCCAGAACACAACCACCCTCAGGGAAAAGAAGGGCCAGCTGGAGCGGACCAAGAATCTACTTAGGACAGACTTAGGAAAAGTCCACATGTGGCTGCATTTACCTTGAACTGACAGTTTGCGCTCCTGAACAGGAAGGTGGGGGTGGGGGTAAGAGTGAGCTTGAGTCATGGGGAAACAAGCAGCTATGTTTTGGCAAGGCTCTGTTGATGGCAGTTTCTGGGCCAACAACCTGGGGCCATCTCCAATCTCTCATGCCCCCTGTCTACCTCCAGAACTTCTCTTGAATCCATCTCCTTTCCATCCTCACTGTTTAGCTTAGCTGTGCATCAGTTCTCACCTGGACAACTGTGGTGGCCTCTCAGGTATTGCTCCTACCTCCAGGCTTGTGGGGTCCTCTTCAAACCCTTTGCTGCAGGCAGCCAGAGGGGTAACAACACATCCATTGTTTTCTTTACTTAGACCAGTGCCAGCTCCCCTGGGAAATCATTCTGCACTTCAGCCTACCTGTTTTGGATGGAATTCACGTTATTACATAACCCACCTTATTGTCCATCACTGACTGGACAGGGGTAATTGGGTCCCTGATGTAGGCTGAGCCCTTCCCCAGATTTTTTGACTTGGGAACAGAGAGGGCTCATAACTAACATCTCTGGGGCCCTTACTACATGTCAGGCCCTTGCTGAGCATTTTACAGGCATTATCTCCTTTGACTGTGACAACTCTAAGGATAGAGCTATTACTCTCCCTGATTCACAGTTGAGGACACTGAGGGCAGAAAAAGCAGATAAAATAGTGAGTAGCAAGTAGCACTGAGTTGAGTGGGGCTTCTTACCCAACACCGGCGCTTCCACCTTGGTCTCTGGTCACACACAGCTGGCATACAGCAGGATGTGGGGGCGCGGAGAAGAGGCAGGGAGGGTGGGTCTGACGGTCAAGGCCCTGGCTCCGGGGGACCTGGAGGCCCAACTTGCCTGGCCTGTGGCTTGGTTATGGAAGCCAACCACGTTCTCTTTCTGACTGAGCTAGTTTGAGTTGAGCTGCTTTTACTGGCAAAGAAAAGCAATGTGGCTAAATGAGAATGTGGTCGATCGCACCTGTCTCCCTGCTGAAGCTCATTCACTGGTTCCTCATCACCCTTAGGAAACGCCTCGGCAGGGCACACAGGGCCCTGCATGCGCTGGCCAGTCTGATTTGTCACTGCTCCCCCCCTTCTGCACCCATGCCCCCACCCGTGTGCCCCATGCACACAGGACTCACCGCTGCTCCCTAATACCCTGTGAATGTTGCCGGCCTCAGAGGACCAGGTGAGAAATGAGATCCATGCCCACTCTCCCTGCTACCCTTTCCTTCTCAGCTCTCAAGTTCTTTGAATCCAAGTCTACCTAGGATTTCACCTGGGCTGTCTCTTCTAAGCTCTGGGCCCAAAACTTATCTCTCTCATATGTCATCTCCTAAGAACCTAGGTCTTTGACTTTTTTTTTTTAATTACAAAGATAATTTGTTAACATCTTAGAAAATTGCTAAGTACCCAAAGTACCCAGAGGCAACCACTGTTCACATCTTGATATACTTATCAGAACTGCTTTTTAAAAGACCAATTTTTTATCTTTTCATGTAATATACACATATAGTTTTTATTTATTTATTTTCCCAACAATTGTATTGATCTATTGATTTCTTAACACACTTATTTTTAATCAAACTTTCCTTTTAAGTGTATCCAGCTATAGAGACTATTTTCTGCCATAATCATCACTGGATGGGATCAAGAAGAAACCCTTCCAGAGCTATGAGTTTGTAACTAACCAGATAAAGGCACTCCTTGAAAACAGAGGAGTCTCTTCCTTTACAATGACCTTTGGCTCTCTGAGGAAACATTTTCCCCCAATAACTTAGATACCTTGTTACTGGACTAGAGTTGTTTAAGAATGTAATCTCTGATCTCTTAACTACAACTCTATTCAGCTAGATTTCAGATGGTTCTGAATGATGGTTGTTTTGTAGCTTCGCTGTAATTTTGATGTGGTTGTGGGAGGATGCGTGTACCACACTTACTCTATGCCGCCATCTCGACTGGAAGCCTCATATAATTTTTAAAAATCTAAGAGGATAGAAGGGGTTTGATGAAGACCAGCCTTCTCCCCACCCCCAAATCCTCACCCCAGAGTGTGTGATCTTCTCCTGAGGTCACCTCCCCAGCTCTAAAAGGCTCTTAGATTCGTTGTCTTAGATAGAGTGCTTTCACCAGCATCCAACAGAACACCTCAGAGTAGCTTAAATAAGAATGTTTATTTATTTCAAAGAATGGTAAGTCCAAAAATCAGTGGTTTCAGGTGTCCAGGCTCTGAATCAGCAGAGAGCTGCATCTCCTGGCCTTCCCCTCCTGGTCACAAGGTGGCTGTCAGAGCTCCAAGCATCACGTTTTCACCTAAGCAGAAAGGAAGGAGCAGGGCCAGGAAAGCTCACCAGGTTATCTCTTTAATCAGGAAGGAAAGTGCTTCCTTGAAGCTGCCTGAAGAGGTCCCCTTAGGAGATCCTAGTCAAACTTGGGTCACAAGAGTTCTCTGAACAGCATCTGCAACATCTGATTTCTAGTTCCTAAAATCCACTGATGTCCCACGTGGCAGATTAGGCTTTAGGTCACTTGGAAACTACTCCCCTCCATCCCTGCGTCTCCCAACAGAGTTTCAAAGCACCTCTACTGTATATCTTTTGAATTTTAAGGCATCTCCTTGCCTCTACACTCCTGTTCCACTGTGGGCTCACAGAGGCTCTAGCCTCCCCACATTACCATTCCCGTCAACCCCCCTCCCTCGCATTGGTATTGCCAAACTTCTGTATCTTTACCTTCACATTGTAATGAATGATAATATTGACATTTTATGCTGAAACCATAATCAAATACAAAAATTGAATATAAATTAAAACTGGAAAGGAAAAGACAAAATTATTATTGAGACACCTATTTCCTGTGGGTACCTTTCCATGTATTTACAAGTTTTTAGAAAGTCTAGAAAAGTACACACTGAGACCATTACAGTGGTTACCTCTGGGGAGAAGGAAGGAAATGGGATGGCAGTGGGTGGCCGAAAGGGACATGAGCTTCAACTGCAATGTTCTAGTTTTTAGAAAGGAGAATGTATTTATGTTTCGCTGGTGTCATTAAACTTTAATTTGAAAAAAATTCCCATTCATTTTCAGCCAATTATGCCAGCTCTGTGTGTTTGGCAGTGCTCGCATGTTTGTGCCCAGGGAGAAAGAACATTTACTTTGTGTGTGTCTATGAATGAAGTACAGTGATTAGTAAGTAGATTTAGAAAAATGTAACAAGCAAAAGCAAAACAAGAAAGGGGGTGTGGAGAGAACTCATTCACAACCACAATACAATCTAGAGGAACAAACCCATTAGGAAACGGGTAGCTTCTTTATGGAGAAACTATAATATATGTGGCCGAGGACACACCAGATGATCAGAATAAATGCAGGGCTCTACCGTATCCATAGGTCGAAAGGCTCAGTATTGTACTGATGTCAGTTTTCCTCAAATTGGTCTTTATATTCACGGAACTTGACAGGCAGGCTTTACAATTCATGTGGAGGACCTAATGCACAGTAATAGTTAGATGAGATCATTGGGAAGGAAGCACAATGAAATGGAGCATTTTATTTAACGATACCAAAATGGTATAAAGCTACAGCAGATAAAACAGTCTGGTACAGACAGGAACATACAGGCCGATGAGGCAGAGCAGGGCCTCAGGCCGCCTGGGGGGGCTCC